CATACACATATATATATATATATATATGCACATGTATCACGTCTCTGAATGAATTCTAGCACTTGAATGAATGACTTATCGATCGATCGAGAGAGAGGGAGAGAGAGAGAGAGAGAGAGAGAGAGAGAGAGAGACAGACAGGGGATGAAAGTTGCGCATGAATTACCTGCATCTGTGCATCTCTCTCTACAAACAATGAAGCTGTGAGTTTAGTTACCTCCTCGTTGCTGAGAAATATAATGTAGTGATTCAGTATTAAAACTATTTTATTAATAAAAGTCACGGGGCAGTGTTGACAATAAGTTACTGTGCTCCTGAATGTTTCTGTGTGTACGCAGTGCAATCTCCGATCTCTGTGTGCGAGTGATGTGTGCGCGTACGTGCGTCAATTAAAGCAGAGCATTAATATAGAATAGTGATTAAACTGACTTGGAACTACCTGTGCATTAAACAATATTTTGTATTATGTTTCTGTAACAAAACATGTTATTCTTTGTTTTAGTTATTTTTAGTAGTACTTTTAACATGTTACTTGTAGTACTTGTAGCATGTTTCTGTAATAGAGTATTTTTACTATGGAAACATACTACAAAAATAGCTAAAAGTATAATATATATTACTGAAACAACTAAATATTTATATGCAGTTATTTAATATATACATTTTGTTTATTTACTCATTTAACTTAACTATTATTATGAAAATGGTTATTTGTTGGACCTTCTGTATACTGTGTAGTATCACTAAGTACGGTAGTTTTCCGTTCTGAACATTCAGTATTTTGGTTTATTTTGGTTGCCGTACCTCTCAAACGTGTACTCGCTCTCAGATCTGAAATAGTAGACGTGTGATTTGAAATGGAGCTTGAAGACGTAGTCTTTATGGATGTTCTCAGACTCTGAGGGAATAGTGATGGAGTATCCCAGCAGAGGAAGGCTGGCCAGAGGATATTCATCCTGCAAAGAGACTCTCAAATTAAATACGGCCAAAGACTCCTGCCACATTACTCACATTCTGCTCAGAGAATCGATTACAATTTGTGTGAAACATTAATAATATTTAATATTAATAAATAATTTAATGTTAATAGTAATATTTTATGAACATTTCTGACCTGGTGTGTTTTGTAGAAGAACAGACTGAAGTTGGTGAAGACCACCCATAACTTCTGCCAACCGTTGCTGTTTTTGAACTTTCTCAGCAGATTCCCAGACAGCTGATTCTGAAGAATAAAGACAAAAAACAATGAGAAAACAAAGAGAAAATGCTTCAGATACAACCAGGGTCCAAAAAACAACGGCATCTATATTATTAATATATTTATTTAATAATATATTACATTTTTTACAAAGTATATATCAGTGCTATTATAGTTAAAAACATTTGTGTTACTTGGAATAAAATGTGTGTATTTTTGTAACTTGTTGCCAAAAAAAACATCTCACTCCAATCAAATAAACTAAAATTAATAAATAAAAAAAACTATATAAACAACTTTGAAATTAAAGTGAAAACAGAAAATATAAAAATCTAATTCAAAATATTAACAAAAACTATAACAGTACATCAATGATACTAAAATAACATGTATATTGTTATATTGAGTTAGTATTTAGTAATCAAATATATTTGATTGTCACATCACTGATGTCAGTCTCTCTTATATTGTGATTTAAATCATGCAAATCATAATTTAACAATTTTAAAAATTGTAGTTTGAAGTTTCTAAAAGGGCTAGAGGTCATTAGGCCAGTTATTTGTTTTTTTATTTACCAAAGGCAATTTTATACTCTGTTTTTTTTTTTGTACAGCTGTATATTTTGGACCCTGGGCACAACAAAGGTATGAGACTGGCAGCATAAAGTGTCATCATGTTCATTTAATTTGACTATTGATAAACTGCACATCTGAACAGAAATAGGGCCATTCATACAGGATGTGTTCTTGCGGATTGTCTGCACTCCTTTTAATTGTTAGTTCATGTACACATGCGTCAGACAGACATCTTCGGCCATGCAATTGCATCTTTCAGTTTATTCAGCATTTCATGGTATGATCGCTGCATTTTTTGTTGCAGTGTCTAGTTAAAAGAGTTCAACTCCATTCTATCTGTTTTAAATGCAGGAACTCTTCAACCAGCGTGTTAAAACACTGATATATAGCATCACATGTGTGCTGTTAGTGAACAACTGAAGATCATTCAAAGACATTCAACAACGTTCAAAGAGAGAAAGCACTGAACTGAACCACCATCACAACCCAGAGTACAGTCAGTGTTCAGAGGACACGACAAACCAACTGGCATTTGATAAAATGCACCCATATTAGTTATAATATGTGCACAGATGTAGAAAGTCCAGCTCAGTTACGAGCAGGTTGTTCAATTAAGGGCAGTAATATAAACGTCAAACAATTTTTCACCTGAACAAATCATTGACCGTGTGACATTTCTGCTGATAAACTGCAGGAATGTCAAATCCACTGTTGTCATTTGAAGCAGTGTTATTTTAACATTATTCATATATTATTGTAGTATAAATTAATCTTTTTGAAATAGGTTTTAGCTTTATATGAGTAATTTTGTTATGCGCGCTATTGTTATTAGTATTATTATTGGTAGTAGTAGTACTATTATTGTTATTATTTTTATTTAACTGTAAAATTAAAGTGAAATAAAATAACATGGCATATTATTATTATTAAAAATATAATGAAATATTGTTGCTACTTAATGCGCTTTTATTTTTATTAGATCTTTTAATATATGTATTTACTTTTAATTCCTACTTATTTCAGTTCGAGTTTTATTTTAAGTATTTTAAGTTCTTTTTAAATAAATTATTTGTAATTTAAAAAAATAAATAAAAATAAAAAACTATAATAGTACATCAGTGATACTAAAATGTAATTTCTTATTTCAGTTTTAATAATTTAAATACTTAAACTTATTTTCAGTTAGTTGCCAAGGCAACATTTCAACATTTTAAGATTTTTTAAAGAATATTTGTTTTTTGTTGTTTTAATCCAGCTTTATTTCAGTTAGCTTTTCTTGTACTTTAACATCGGCTAAACAAACAAATCATTGTAAGTGAAATGGTACATTTTACAGCGTCCATGTTTTACCTCTCTATTCCTGCAGGTTTCACTAAAGCAGAGGCTTTGGACACGATACCAACACACCAGAGAGAGAGACACGGGCCCCTGGGCCCTGAGTGGGGCCGCAATGGGAGCCTCTGACAGACTGACTGGACTAGGGTCCTCTAACACAGTGCAGGACAGAGAAACACAGAGAGAGACATGAGAGACACACTGGGACACGGACAGAATCCGAATGAGGAGGAAGAAACGATACGGCCTGAAGATCTGAAGAGGAAACAACACGAGGAAGACGACAGCAGGAACCTGAATGTTCAAGACTCATCTAATGAAGAACACAAAACCACTGCAAAAACACTTCTTAATGAGTTTAGAACTAGTCTTTCCATTAAAAACATCTATAAATCCTTAAAACAAGATACATCTATATATTCAAAACTTTGAGGTCAGTAATTTTGTAAAAAAATAAATAATATATATATAATCTTTTTTTTTTATTCAGCAAGGATGCATTAAATTGAACAGAAGTGACAGTAAAGACATTTATAATGTTACAAAAGCTTGCTATTTCAAATAAATGCTGTTCTTCTAAACTTTCTATTTATCATAGAACCCTGAAATAAAATATCATGTTTTTTTTTCATAAAAATATGAAGCAGCACAACTGTTTATAACATTGATAATACTCATTCATGTATGTTTGAGCAGCAAATCAGCATATTAAAATGATTTCTGAAGGATCATGTGACACTGAAGACTGTAATGAAGCTGAAAATTCAGCTTTGCATCACAGGAATAAATTACATTTAATATTACAATAGAAAACAGTTATTTTAAATTGTAATAATATTTCAAAATATTACTGTTTTTACTGTATTTTTGATCACGTAAATGATGCCTTATTTAATGCGCAAAATATAATAATCTTACCAACTCCAAACTTTTAACAGTAATGTATATATAAATACAGTAGTAGTAAAATATAAAATATAATAAAATACATATTTCTTTTAGAATCTAAATTGAACTTATGCAGTGCTGCTACTCAAAGAAAAATTGATACTGTATCAAGGATTTGTAGATATTTTAACTGGATAATTAGACAAACACTCATTAAGAGCAGGATTTTCTGCAGTGAATGAAAATTCTGTAATTATTATTCAGCTTCATGTGTTTGCACACTTGTACGTGATTATTTCATATTGAAGTTGAGTGAATCTGATAATGCTTTCAGCTACCAATGAAACTCACTGCTTCATTTAACATGCTTAATTTCATATTTCAATCAGATCATGAATTCAGATATTCATGAATTCATTTTCATTTTATAAATTCAGATTTCATTTTCAGATCATGAAAATGTCGAATGGTGCACAAATTCCATGTGGGACCAATTACGAGTGATGCCTTGAAAACAGTCGCAGTTCCCAGAGGAGAGAAAGAGAAAGAGAAAGAGAGGAAGGTTAAACACACACACACACACACACAGAGACACACGACACAGAGACTGGAGCTCTGGAGCTCTGGAAGAGGACGGCTGTGCTCCGGTACCTCTAACGCTACGCTAAAATCCACCATGGACACGCTGGTGTTGCGATGCCAGCACACGTGAACCGTGGTATTACCACGGTGAGGCGTCTGCCGCTCGAGAGACGTCTGTGAAGTGCTCAGGTCATCATCTGATTCCTGGTCAGCGCTAGATTCCTCAGGGGATTCTGGGAAATATGGGAAGAACAGCCATTTAACAAGAAAATAATGAAAGGTTGTGATATCGATAGGTTATATGTTTTTGTACCATACCATGGTAAATCCTATTTTTTCCTCCAGGTACTGCAGAGTACCATGTCAATATCAGGGATACATAAATATGCTAATCATGGCATATATCAAAGTACTATAGTATTACTGTGTGATTTCATCACTCTATTTTTGGATGGTGGCAGTACTATGGTACAGTGATGGTAATACCACGGTACTAAAATTCATTTACATGGTACTCCTAATTATCATGAATACCATAGTAATAACAAGTTACCATGTTCGATTAATATTATGTTATTTATTATTATTATGCGTATAGCATGTTTTTTTGGAAGTACCAACTACTACCAGTGTTGTATTACCTTTATACCATTGTATTACCAAATAACCAGTATACATTTTTGTTAGGTTATTTACTGTTTTTGTTTCAAATAACATTAATAAAGAAATAAAATGTTATACACACATATTCCAAAATAATTTAAACTAATAATAATAATAAAAATTGTATATATGAAATTAATAACATCAATAAATAAAGTAAATAAATAAAGTATGCCACATATATGTAATAATAATAATAATAATAAATTAATAAGCAAACAAACATATTTCACAGAAAATGACAACATTCAATATAAAGCAGGTAGACGTTGTCCTCTGAAGTCAGAAAGGTTTTCATAAGGTCAAATATGAGACACAATGGCAATAAAAACTGTCAATACACTGAAATCAGGAGCGAGTTCATGCATCAGGTCACAAGAGCAAACAGTCTCTTCACAATGACATCAATGTCTAGACGGCAGGAACAATAGGATGAAAAAAAGCAGAAAAGATTTAGTTGACGTGAATAAAGCAGAAGAAAAGAGCATGTGTGTGTATCAGACTGACATGAAGAAGAGCTGCTGAAGGATTGCAGGACTGGAAACATGATGCTGAGATCCAGAGCACACACTGTTCACTACTGTCAACTACTGCTCTTATGTCACACTCAAAAACGTATGGATGTCATTGCATTAGACAACAAAACATCAAAGCACTACTCATCTGAAACATATATTTCTATGTCATGAAGCTCTTTGTAAGCATTGGCCTGTGTCAGATCAGAGTAGTTAACATGCAGATAATGAAATGGGAAAACGGTCAGTGACTTACTGCTGTCAGTGAAACTGCTGGACAGGATCTCAGCCGAGGGGCCATTGCATTTGTCCGCCAGTTCAATGGCCATCTTGATGTCCTCCACCCACTTCTCCATCTCAGACGCTGAACTGTGGAGAGGACGAGGATGTTATTACTGCAGCTACTGCCAATTAAAGTGCTAAGACAGTGATACTGTTACGATTACCGCAGGGAAGGGACACAGCACAGATTAGGCACAGCACATAGTAGATTAATAAATATTTACTAAAATGCCGTCTAAAATAAATATTTATTTAATAACAACAACAACAATTATTATTATTATTATGATGTATTAATATTATTAATATTATACTATTATTCATATAATTAAATGTACTACTACTACAACTAATTATTATTATTATTAAAAACTAAAAAAGTCTTATTATCTGATTATAATTATTAGTACAATTATTATTATTTATACATTATAATAAATAACAATAATTGTTCAAATTGTTTACTATTATTACTATTAGTAGTAATAGTAATATAAATAATATATAATTATTAAGTAAATACATAAATAAATATAACAACAACAATAATAATAAATAATAATAATTATTATAGTTATTAGTATTATGAATATTATTATTCGTATTACATATAATACTACAACTACTACTGCTATATTATTATTATTAGTATTAGTATTATTTTTAAAAAGGCTTGTAGTTACTTTTTGGCTTGAACTGTGGTCTGTACTATCAGAATTCAATGACGGGTCTATCCATTTTATTCAACTCATTTAAATATCCTGTAGCATTTCTGTGTGTGTTTTTTTTCTGTTGTATTCATTCAGTATAGATTTTCTCCAAACTCATTTCAGTCAATGTATTTGAAACAGCTTTAATGTAATGTCGCAATACAACTGCACTAGATCACAGAACAATAACATTGCATACCTCTTTATAATCTGCTGATACTGAATGTGATTTCCTTGGAACTGCATTTCACAATTTATATAAGCATCATGATGCTCCCATGAATTTCTTGAGCACGACACACAATAAAAAGGCACATTTGGACATTGAACATGCATATCCGTTTTCCTCAGACAGACAACAAGGACATAAGACAGCATGGACACCGATAAGCATAAAGCCAGCCGTCCATGTAATAATTAACCAGTTAAACCCTGAACATGTTAGCTAGTGAATATGATAATTACCTGGCAGCCACGACGACGGACTGTCTCTGTCCAAACAGAGTGAAGGAATGTGGGACGCCCCACTCGTCCTCACTTTCACGGATCTACACAAATAGACCAACATGATAGATTAACCCATCAGTTAGAAACATGCTGACCATGTGGATGCATTTTACACAGAATAATAAATAATAATAATAATAATAATCCTGTACCAAGGTCTGAATATAAGCATTCATTATTTTTCAATTAAAACCTCATCAAGACAGCAATTTAACATCTGAATGTTGCGTGTTACATTTACACGCAATATGCAATTTTGGGAGAAGTGCTGGAGCTGCGGCCTGCAGAACAATGGCGCTCCTGTTTGTGTGATTGTGCAATTAGTAACTAGAGATGGAGGCAGCGGGAACGTGGCCAAAACAAACAGTCAGTGTGCGCTAAAATACAGGGAATGCTGTTGTATATTGAAAAGTACCATCAATGAAAAGAGGTATATACTGTATGTACAGACCTGAAGGAACCATCACTGTTTAAGTCCAAGTCAAAAATGAATCAAATATTACGCACCGTCATGCCATACAGAGGAAGCTGGCCATGCACTTTGAACTGATTGGAGGCCGTCATCCCTCGACTCGTGTACATCAGAACATCATTGAACTGAAAACATATTCAAGATAAATTAATACATTAGTGTTCATTACTTTACCTCTCCTAAAAACATCAAGAAAGATGATTCACTTAAATTGGCATTCCAAGGCACTTTAAAGAACTATAGCAAGGTTTCAAAAAACATAATATCATGGTACGTCTTTTTTTTTTGTTGATGAAATCAATACTTTGCTTTGGTAATAATAAAATTAAATAAAACCAACATATTAATAAATTAAATAAAACACAAAATATAACAAAAACACAAATAAATAATAATAAAATAAAAAACAAATAAAACAAAATAAAATAATAATAAAATTAAAGACAAAATACATATAATAAAAACACAAAAATAAAACATTAAAAAAACGAAAATATTAATAATTTTAAAAACAAACAAAATAACAAAGTATGATCAAATAAAACATTATTGAATATAAATAAAAATAAAAAACAAGATAAAATTATCAAATAAATTAATAGAAAACAAAATTAAAAACGATACAATAAAACTAAATTGCAAATATAGAAATTAAACAGAAAATAATAAACTATCAAATAAAACAACAAATTTAAAAAACAACAACAACAAATAATATAAATCAAAGGATAATAAATTATGAAATAAAACATGAGCATAAAGTACTTTTCTACTATTCACAGTACATTTAGGTATCATAGCAATCAAACCACCACAGTACTTTTAATAAAGGATGCAACATGGGTCATAATTCTAACAAACCATCTAGCTGTATTATGTAGATGTAACTAGTATATGGAAGCAAGCAGCTCTCACCAAGAAGAACATTCTCTGCTGTAGACCTTTTCCAGAGAGTTTGCTGAGACAACCGAGTCTGATAAACTCCTGACAAAACAGACACAACCAGCTCAACGAGAGAGATCAGAGCATTCATAACTCGTTCATATTCAGGAACATGATGGCGTCATTTTTGATTTCATGAACTAACCCGTCCAGGGAGTGCAAGATTGTCGATGCCAATGAGGTCTTTCTTGAGCTCTAGAAGCTTCTGGAAGTTCTCCATCTTAATGAGGGTGCCGTGAAGCTGCACAACCATCTCAGAAACATCAGCAAGCGCAGCTGGAACAGGCGAAAAGGATCTTTAGAACATTAAAGAACTGAGATTGAACTCTGAGATTAAAGCAGCTGTCCCATGTAGTACCTCGCGAGTCTCTGAAGTCGTCGTGTGTCGGTGGATAATGTTTGCAGAGTCGCTCGAGGATCTGTTTGTAGTGCATGAGGCGGTGAAGCGGCCGCAGGAAGAAGATGTTGAGCGGCAGATAACAGACCTTCTGCAGCTCAAAGTCTCGACACAGACCCTCCAGCTTCCGGGACGAGCGACACATCCTCTCCAGCTCCAGCAACGCTTCCGAATGCTTCTGGAGATGAGCCGTCAGCAGCTGAGAAGCCAGAAAGTTCATTGAGTTGAGTTAATTTATCTGTGGTGGTGGCACCAAATAATAATAATACTATGGTACTTCAAAGAATACAACAGTGTTACCATCATACCATGGCCAAAAACACATTACCTGGATGTGTCATGATATTGGATGATGATACTCAAAGAATACCATGGCAAAAAATATACATAATTATCATTGTTGTTATTATTTTGAAGAGATGTTTTCAAACATTTGGATGGCAATTTTTATTTCCCATTTAATATCCAATTTTATATATCCATGTTACATCTCACAGCCAAGCTCTAGAGAACAACACGATATCCAAAACGCATATCTCACTGATATCAAAGTGGATCACAGAAAGATCTAGATGTTCTGACCTTCAAACCCTGGATATTCTTCAGCATTACATCTCCAATACGCTGGTAGTCTCCTTTGATGTGTGCATTGGATCTGCCTTCCCTGAGAACAATGAATAGAATGCATTTCATATATATATATATATATATATATATACACGCACACACACACAAATATATATATATATATATATATACACATATATGAAATAAAAATATCTTAAAATGATTTATTTAAAGACATTTTATCATATTTTAAGTTTTTTTTTTGACATATCAAAAGTTATCAAAAGTATTATAGAAATTCTTAAAATATCCTGATTTTTATGTGGATTTTTGTCCCTTTTCACAGCATCAGTCCCCATTTACTTTCAATGCATGAGCATGCTGTAAATTCTACTAAAGTTTTAATTTTGGGTGAACTGAAGTTCTTATGTCATCCAATAGATGTCTCTGTTGCACATTGATCTACGCAGACTTACTGAGTACCTGAACATCAGTGAACTCAGTGTCATCTATCACGCTGTTGAGCCATTCCCTGCTCCTCACCGAGACACATATATGAAATAAAAAATATCTTAAAATGATTTATTTAAAGACATTTTATCATATTTTAAGTTTTTTTTTTTACACATATCAAAAGTTATCAAAAGTATTATAGAAATTCTTAAAATATCCTGATTTTTATGTGGATTTTTGTCCCTTTTCACAGCACCAGTCCCCATTTACTTTCAATGCATGAGCATGCTGTAAATTCTACTAAAGTTTTAATTTTGGGTGAACTGAAGTTCTTATGTCATCCAATAGATGTCTCTGTTGCACATCGATCTACGCAGACTTACTGAGTACCTGAACATCAGTGAACTCAGTGTCATCTATCACGCTGTTGAGCCATTCCCTGCTCCTCACCGAGAGCCATCACACCAGCCACCACACACAAAAACCTCCATTTATCATCCCGTCCTTTAACACGGGTCCAAACCCGCTCCCCACAGAGCAGTATTAAACATTACAGCCGTGCTGGAGAACATTTAAGTCAGCAGAGCTCCAATAGTTACTGTCAGGACACGTTATGTGTATAGTCTGATACTACAGGTTTGTTCTGTGTGCCAAGACTTAACGCTTTTTTAAACATTTCTAGTGACTTGTGCTCTAAAAGACATGATATGGCAGGTGTGGCTGATGGTACAATGTTAATTTGGATAATATGGAAATATATCTTTATTTCTAAAGAAATAAATATATAAAATATAGAAATAGATATAAATATGTAATAGAACAGAAAATAAGTTATTTAAATCTTATATTCAATAATAATATTCATAATATTCATAATATATATATATATATATAAAATATTCAATTTACAGAATCACACTTTAATTAAAAAAAACATTACACACACATTATGATATATCTATACTATATATATATATATATGATAAATTATACAGTGGTATATTTGTTATGTAATATAGAATAAATACAATAAAAATTATATGTTCTAATTTTGTTTTTAAAAATATAAAATATAATAAAAATATTCTTTTATTAAAAAATAAAATGATAATACAATAGTAATTTGGCAAATTATAATATTATATAAATAATTATACATAAATTATATAAAATTTATATGAATAAATATGTTATTTGTATACTATATATAAAAATACTATCAATAAATATTCATATTTATTTATTTTACAAATAATATTGATCCTGGTCAAGGTTGATAAATGCTGGTATATCTAGTGACTAGGAAAACTTAATTTCTCAATTTGTGAAGCCTGTTGACTAAACAAATCTTGCTAGTTAAACCAGTTATGCAACCTGAAGGAGGACACCAGAAAACAAGTATCGAATTACGCAATATTATGAACATAAAGGGTTTTGTTAGGACCAAAGTGTAGCAGAAAATGTTTAACTTATGAAAATAATGTCATTTCCACATTTTCTGTATGTAAAATATAATTTCCTATTATTTTTTCTTTGATTTTTTGTTGGGTAATATGCGGCCTAGGCATTTCAATCATGCGAGGTTAATTTCATGTCAGGTTACGACCAACTAGATCTGATTTGGCGTAATTATTTTTTGACAAGCAGATGAAAAGGCATCAAACAATGTATTAAAATACTGAATGACACATTGAGGTGTGTGTCTGTTATGGTTGGAGCAGTTTGTACACATTCCTGACACCAATATAACAAACACACTTAACTGAAATACACACCACTGAGCCAGTCGCTGCTCCACATCTTTCAGAAAGGTCTCGTGAAATTTGTACACCGGTTCAAAACTGGCAAATATGAGATTCCTCAAGGAATCCGGCATGGCTTCATCCTTCTCTACAGACTTCTGAAAGGACTGAAAACATACAGGAAAGGAAGAGAAACGTAAGAATAGAATATTTTCATAGCATTCATGTTCTGGATGAATTGTAGAAGAATGTAGCTCATCAAACTCTTATTCAAAATCAACTATCCATGATATGAGTCTTTAAACTGTCTACAGTAAATGGAGGAACACATCAACCCCCTGAAGCTTTTGTAGACGTTTTCCATCGTCACATCACTATAACAACACTATAAAACCATTTGACTTCTTCATTTAGATCCAAACATGAGCAGATCAGCAGACAGTGCGATGATTATCTCAAACAGACTGTGTGACGTGATGACAGAAGAATCCATGAATAAAGACTCTTTGTCTCTTTATTCTCATGATCTGGACACTGCAAAGCATCCACTGCGACTTCAGTCCTTGCAAAAAATATTCTACACCAAGAAACACCCTAGAAACCACCCAAAAATCCTTAACAACATGTTAGCTACCAACCAAAAACCTTAGCAACCACCTAGCAACATGTTAGCAACTATTTAGAACATCCAAAGAACTGCTTAACACCCTAGCAACCAATCAAAAAACCTTAGCAACCACCTAGCAACTATTCAGAACACCCTACAAACTGCTTAACATCCTAGCAACCAAACAAAAAAACCTTAGCAACCTCCTGGCAACATGTAAACAATTATCCAGAACACCCTAAGAAGTGCTTTTTAAAACCATAGCAACCAACCAAAAAAAACTCAGCATCCAGCCCAAAACATTAGCAACCACATGCTGGTGATTATCCAGAACACACTAACAACTGGAAAACCTTAGCAACCACCTAGCAACATTCTGGTAATTATCCCCAACACCCTGATGCTTATTAAGTACACAGTATAAACCAACTTAAAAAAAATAATAAAAAAATATAAAAGAAAAACTCTGCAACCATGCTAACAATTATCCAGAACACCCTAGTAACTGCTTATTATAACCTTAGCATCCACCTAAACACATACTGGGAATTATTCAGAACACTCAAACAACTGCTTATTAACCAGAGCTCTAACAACCAATCAGAAAAAAACTTTAGCAATCGTTTAGCAACCTATCAGCAATTATTCAGAAAACCCTAGCAACTGCTTTTAACTCCTGAGCAGCAACCTTAGCAGGCACCTAGCAACATTCCCCAGGCTACGCTAGCAGCTGCTTATTAACACGCTAACAAGCAAACAAAAAAAATAGCATTACTTAGTAGCATATTGGTGATTATTCAGAAAACCCTAGCAAATGCTTAATAACATCATAGCAACAACCTTAGCGACCACCTAGAAACATGCTAGTGCTGATTATTCAGAACACCATAGCAGCTGCTTATTAACACCCTAGCAACAACCTTAGCAACATGTTAGCAACTATTTAGAACATCCAAAAAACTGCTTAACACCCTAGCAACCAATCAAAAAACCTTAGCAACCACCTAGCAACTATTCAGAACACGTGCTGGGGATTATACAGAACACCCAAGAAACAGCTTATTAACCCTAGCAACGTGGGTGATTATCTAGAACAGTGTTTCCCAACCTTTTTTTAGTCGCGGCACCCTTTGGAAATTTTAACATTGTGGCACCCTACAAAATTAATTTTGTCACAATATTTGAATTTCTAACTTCGATATGATAATTTGAAAAGTATAGATATTCGGTACAACAGGCAAGAACTGCAGAACATAATGTCATTAGGGCTGGACAATAATTCAATATCAATATGTATCGCGATATAATTTTTTTCAATAACGGTAATATGATTTTTAAACACATTTCCGATATTTCGATATACATTACCAGTGTTTCCCATACATTGATTTATTTGTGGAATTAATTATACTTAGGGCTGGACAATAATTCAATATCAATATATAACACCATTTACTTTCAATAACGGTGATATGATTTTTTTTAACATTTCCGATATTTCAAAATACATTACCAGTGTTTCCCATGCATTGATTTATTTGTGGCAGCCCGCCACAATATCAACACTGACCGCAAATTTTTTTTTCCAAAAGGACTGAATTGAATTGACTTCATTGAATAAACATGATCACTGCACTTTCCAAAATCAAAACGCGGCGCGGGTGTTTTATATGAATGCATCTTTGAAGGCAACCAACTGTCTTCGGAAAAGTTCAGATGCCATTTTCATTTGATCTAAAAAAAAGCAGCGTTTATAAGCGGAGCACTGCTTTGTGTGCAGCCGTTACCATGGAAACAGAGAATGAATTTGCATTTTCAATAAGCCCGTCTCCAGCAACATGTGTTTTTGTTGTTGCATATTTTCTTTTCGGTTTTCTGCAGCAACTCTGAGCACTTTTTCTATTCTTTATGCTGGCTAAAACACTTTTGTTTCAGTCCGTAAGAATAATCAGCCTATGTTATAGTTTCAAGTTTTATTATATATTATAATATATCGTTTTATAGGAGGAGGTTTCAGAAGTTTGTAGGTTGTGGGCGTTCTTGGCAGCTTTTCTGAGTCTTTTTTTAATAGTGTTCATATCGATATCGGAATTATATCGTATCGACAGAAATTAAGAAATATATCGTGATATAAATTTTTGCCATATCGTCCAGCCCTAAATGTCATACAGATATTTTTAATATTATTTAAAAAATTGTCCATCAATTGTGGCAATCAGTAGGCTAATTTCTATTGAAGAGACCAATTTATATGACTGATTTTAATGTAGGCTTTTATACATATGTAAACATTATTTAATTACTAGGGCTATTGCAGACAGAAACAATACTGTACTACATCGATGTTTCCTGTCAGCTCGATTTTTGAGTGGACTTTGCTGTTCCGATGAGCATGAACGGTATACGAGTGGAGCGACTGAGCGGAGCGCATGCATAGAGTGGGATAATACGCAGAGCGTCACACAACGTGAAAGTGAATCCTGAGCGGTGAACTAATATTCGGCAGCCGAAATTTCAGTGCATCTCTAATTATTGGCGACATCAGAAATGGATATTATATAATAGATGCTTTTTTTGAACATTTTAGCAATTAAAAAATTATTTTTTTTACACGGCACCCCGGTTGGGAAACACTGATCTAGAATACCCTATAAACTTAAAACCCTAGCAACCAACCAAAAAAACCTAGTAACCACCTAGATATCCCTAACAACCATCTAGAAAAGGCCTAGCATCCCCCAAATCCCCCTAACAACCCCCCACCCAATACCTAGACCAAAAAAAGTACTGTGTACTGGAACACCGTAGTGTTGTTGTGGCGCTCAGCTCAGTCATTAGCAGTACAGATGGCTGTGTGGAGATCTAGAAGATGTTTAAACTGTTAAACAGATGCAGCTGTAATAATGCGAGCAGGCGAATGGGTGGGTGTGGTGGTCTGGGATCCAAACAGCAGCCTCAGATCCAGAAGCCAAAAGGAAATATTTATGAGATGTGTAAATGTGTCGCCCTGCTGCTTCTTTCCGCTACCTTGTAAGACATCAAAGAGATGCGTTACAAAGCAGACATACAGACAGGAGGAGGCAAACAGCAGAAGAACAACGACTACACCTTATCTTAAAGGCTCAAGCTAACCTTTCATTTGTAAATGGATCAATTTACAATGTACGCTAAAACATCCTGATCATTGCATTATGTTTTGTGTAAATATTTCTCATTAACCTCCAGAAAATAGATATAAACATAAAAAAATGACGACAAACTTTCGGTCAAAAAAATACTTCAAAATGGCATAAAAAAGATTTTGTCATGATGTATTACAGGCAATTGCCCAGCAACAATCCAGAACACCCTAGAAACTTTCTCAAACCCTAGCAACCAACCAATAGGAAAAAAACCACTCAGAACAATTTAATGCTCTAGTAACCACCCAAAGCACCCTAGCAATGTCCTACGCAAAACCCCAAACATCTCTGCAACAGCCTAACAATGTCCTGACAATCATTAGAAAACATTAGCGACTGCCTAGCAACGCCCTAGAAACTACCCAGAGCACCCTAGCAATGTCCAAACACTTTCCTAGAAAACCTTAGCTACTGCCTAGCAACTATTAAGAACACTATGGCAGCTACAACTAACAACTACCTAAAACACCATAGCATCAGCTTATTTATGACCTTGCAACCAATCAGAAAACCTTATCAAAACTCAAAACACCTTATTTTTCTTGTAACTACCTACAGTAACCTAGCAACCTTCTAGGAAAGCTACAGCAACTCCCAGATCATCCTAGCAAAAACCTACCTAATACTTCGAACTAGGGGTGGGCGACATGACCAAAATCTTTTATCAAGATATGAGTAATTTTATATCACGATAACGACATATATCACGATATAATTATTTTTTCTTTTAAAGGGGTAATAGGATGCCCATTTTCCACAAGTTGATATGATTCTTTAGATTCTTAATGAAAAGTCTATAACATTGTTTGGTTAAAATTTCTCAATTGTTGTGTAAAAAACACCTTTTTTTACCCTGTCAAAAACAGCTATTTTCAGATTAAGCCGTTTTGTAGCATTTTCGTTTTGATTGATTGCCCGGTTGACGGGCAATCAATCGGGAGGCACGCACTGGTGATCAGATTTCTCAGGCGAATGAGGAGATTACATCCCCCACGCCCACTGTCGGTGCTGCCGTGGGATCTAGCGCTGGTTCTGAAAGCTCTCTCTACCCCCATTCGAGCCCTTGGCATCTGTTGTTATGAGGGAGCTCTCCCTAAAAACTGCTCTGCTTATTGCACTTGCTTCGGCTAAGCACATAGGAGATCTGCATGTGCTCTCAGTGAACAGTGATTGTATTTGCTTTGGGACTGGGGCCTGCAGTGTTAAGGCCCGTTCACACCAAGCACGATAACTATAAAGATAACGATAACGATATAGTTCTAAAAATCGTTCTCAATATTAAAGAATAGCATAGTTCACACCACAACTATAACGATAACGATACAGAGGAACGATATCGTTGTGATCACTTTCAAAACTATTTTTTTCCAGCTGATGAACGATAAAACACTGACTGCCAATCAGAATCCATCCTGCTGTAACAAGCTCAAGAATTTAATGCGGCAGACGCGCGTGCGCTTAGAATAAACAGACGATATCGTTGGCTGGTGTGGACGCTAATATCGTTATCTTTATAGTTATCGTTCTTGGTGTGAACGGGGCTTTACTCTCCGACCGAGACTGGTCTACGTGCCAAAATCTCCTTCTATCCCCATTAAAGCACAGGTCATTTCTTTGCCCGCTCTATCTTCCGAGTCGTCTGGAGGCGGGGTTACCGTGACCAACAAGATGAACAGAAACTTTTGACCACCATTTTTGAGATAGCAGCTAAACACAAACACGTTGAATTCGCCGTGTTTGGATGCCGATGTAGATTCACAAAGCCATGAACATCAATATCAATGCAATGTCCACCATTGTTGACTGTGTTTAGGCTTGTTCGGGCTGCATCGGTGCTGCACGTCGGTGTATCGCAGGAGTGATTGGAAAGCAGACCACTCTCTTTATGCTTTTGGATCGCTTTCACGGTGCTTTGGTGTTGTGCGCCGATGCATCTCGAACAAGCCTGTTGTGTTTGGCGCTGCAGCGCTAGCGTTACTGGGAAAGATGAGATGTATTCAGTGACTTAAGACCTGGCTCTGTGGTGGCTCTCTAGCCCGTGGAAAGGCAAACCGGTTCTTAGAAGGCTCGCCAGTTGAACCAACTCTGAACCTGCAATAGCACTAGCACCCGGTTCATGCTGGTGGAAAAGGGGTATGTGAAGCTAATGCTGACACAAAAACAACAAACATCCTGAAAACACAACGGCTACATGAGATTGCTTGAGTATTTACAGTCTTACCACAGTAATGACCTCCAGATCCTTCAGATACGTCCTCTCTGTGGTCAGGAGCTCTTTGGCAATGAAGTACGCTTTATCAGTCGGGAACCTCTGTGAGCAGAAGAAAAAAAGAATTAAATTAAACTGAATTAAATTAAATTAAATTGAATTAAACTAATAAAAAATGATGAGGGCATAAATTTAATTAAATGAAAAATTCACAAAAGAATGACAGGAGATATTTCTATACTATTACAGATGCCATGAAATCAAAACAGGATTTTTGTGGCTTTTAATACATTTCAGCAAATATAAGCATTTAAAATCAATTAAATATACTTAAAATATAAGCATTTTTCTTTTCTGATAAAAAATTATGTATAAATATAAACATCAAGGGACATTTTAGTCCAAAAATGCTGTTAAATCACGTGCCAACAACTGATTGCAAGTAGCAAATCATTTGACAACACCTGACAAACCAAACTTGACCCTCGCGCACACACACACAGCGACATCTCAGTAAAGTAAAACTCTCACTGTTTATTGAGCCGCTCACTCCACCGCTACATAATCTGCCCTAAATAGAATGGAATTTGGGTTGAGTTTTTCCAGGTCTCCTATTCTAAGACGTCCACAGAGACACTTGACCAAAATGCAGTGGTACTTCTGATGATAAAACGCTTTTAAAGCAGCCTTTCCACTTCTCATTGTAACCATAATTTGTCTAGAGTGCCTTGAATTCAAGCACAATGTAATTTAAAGAGGAACATTAGCCAAGGGTCCTTGAAAAAAAAAGACTTTGCATTTGTTCACGAACTACAATTAATGATGTTTAATTGGTTGACAAAAACCAATGGCAGCCTCCAAATGTAACCTTCTGCCACAACAGCCAATGAATTGAGAAACTGACTAGCCTTAAAGGGGTCATATGATGCTGCTAAAAAGAACATTATTTTGTGTATTTGGTGTAATGAAATGTGTTTATGCGGTTTAAGGTTCAAAAAACACATTATTTTCCACATACTGTACATTATTGTTTCTCCTTTATGCCCCGCCTTTCTGAAACGCGTCGATTTTTACAAAGCACATTGGTCTGAAAAAGCGAGGTGTGCTCTGATTGGCCAGCTATCCAGTGCGTTGTGATTGGCCGAATTCCTCAAGCGTGTGACGGAAATGTTACGTCTCTTACCATTTTGTGATGCCTGCGGCAACCACATGTGACGACTGGACTCTGCTTTGTCCACATCTTTGCGTGAACATTTGGGCGGCGTTATGCAAATCTTCCCATATAGTGACGTAGACATGTGTGGGCGTGTTAGAACGAGCCGTTTTAGGTAGGTGTGGCTGACTCTTAACTTTTATAAAGAATATCTCTTTGGATTTGAGACTTCTTTGTAACTTTGCAGATCTTCTTTATGCACCAACACTCCAAAGAGAAAGGAAAATGTTTAAATTGCATCATATGACCATATGACCCCTTTATCAGCAATAAAATAATAAATACTTAGTAATATTAATTAGTAATAAAACTAAGTGATAGACATTATAACATTATAGCATATTAATTGCTTTAATATTTGGTTATTCTGACATTTTCAGAGCAAGTATTTATTTTTAAATGTTGTATTTATTTTGTTTATTTATTTTTTAATTCATTAATTCCATGCCAAATCAACAGTAAAAACTGTGTACTACAAATTAAAACAATCACAATAGCAATAAAAATTCGAATAAATAAATAGATAAGAAATAATAAATCATTATATACTTTAATAATATAATAAAAAAATTGACCTATCAAACCAAGTTTTTACTAACACGTGGTGCTATTCTCGAACACTGTTCCCACCCCCTCCCCCCCTCCTCAAAAGACAAACCTTCCTCCGAACCTCGTCCTCGTCGTCTGTGCGGATGAAGCCAGCGTCGGTCAGTAAGGGGCTGGTGAGAGGAGAAGGATGCCGTCCGTCTGGACTTTGGCCTAGGTTAAGACTCTGTTTCTGGCCGTTCACCATCACTTGGCCTGCAGACAGAGATTCGCTGTGCTGAGGGCTCCTGGAAACGGGACCTACAGGAGAACAGGCAGGTCATGCTAAAGCTTTGACGTAATGCGAATTGGGTTATCAAATGTCAATGGACTATTTAGACCTACTACATATAGTAAATGCAATCCAGGTTTCAACATGTGCATTTTGTAAAACTACCCTGTTGAAAAAAAGCAGCTAACTAGTTACCAGCAAGCATTTTAGATGCTGGTATCACCACTAGAAATCTTCACTAGCAAGACTTCTTGGTCAACAGCTTTAACAAAAATCTTTATTTTACTGTTATACTACATGGCTTACCAGTAAGACTAGCACCAACCAGCTTGAACTAGCTTGCAATTTCATGTCAGACTCACTCTTTTCTGCAGGGTAGTTTTGACATTTTATTTCGAGATCATCGCCAAGGGGTAAAGTTGCACGACACACTTTGTGTTTGGAAATGAACTACGGCTGACAGCACCACATCGGGATCCAGACATGAGTGAGTCACACCATCCAAGTCTGGGATTTCTGCCTGAGGACACTGCCGGGATATATAACACATTCCCTGGATGATGGGGAAATCTTCAGACCACTACATTCACTACACAAGTACATTCACATACTTGCCCGAAAACGTTTCGTGTTCCATGCCTTGGCATGAATGGGATGCAACATGCGAACCGGGACATTTCAAATGCACAGAGTGTCCACAGCGGAGCCATTATTGAGGAAGTTGGAAGAGCCGCAAATCTGGTGACAAATGCCTTGTGAAGTCACGCACACATGCAAACATGCAGGACAAACAACTAAACGACTACAGCTACTCTACCACGAAACAAGACACACGACGGGGGGCGCTAACATCTTAACTTTTATAAAGAATATCTCTTTGGATTTGAGACTTCTTTGTAACTTTGCAGATCTTCTTTATGCACCAACACTCCAAAGAGAAAGGAAAATGTTTAAATTGCATCATATGACCCCTTTAAGTATTTATCAGCAATAAAATAATAAATACTTAGTAATATTAATTAGTAATAAAACTAAGTGATAGACATTATATCAGTTAGGCATATTAATTGCTTTAATATTTGGTTATTCTGACATTTTCAGAGCAAGTATTTATTTTTAAATTTTGTATTTATTTTGTTTATTTATTTTTTAATTCATTCATTCCATGCCAAATCAACAGTAAAAACTGTGTACTACAAATTAAAACAATCACAATAGCAATAAAAATTTGAATAAATAAATAGATAAGAAATAATAAATCATTATATACTTTAATAATATAATAAAAAAAGTGACCTATCAAACCAAGTTTTTACTAACACGTGGTGCTATTCTCGAACACTGTTCCCACCCCCTCCCCCCCTCCTCAAAAGACAAACCTTCCTCCGAACCTCGTCCTCGTCGTCTGTGCGGATGAAGCCAGCGTCGGTCAGTAAGGGGCTGGTGAGAGGAGAAGGATGCCGTCCGTCTGGACTTTGGCCTAGGTTAAGACTCTGTTTCTGGCCGTTCACCATCACTTGGCCTGCAGACAGAGATTCGCTGTGCTGAGGGCTCCTGGAAACGGGACCTACAGGAGAACAGGCAGGTCATGCTAAAGCTTTGACGTAATGCGAATTGGGTTATCAAATGTCAATGGACTATTTAGACCTACTACATATAGTAAATGCAATCCAGGTTTCAACATGTGCATTTTGTAAAACTACCCTGTTGAAAAAAAGCAGCTAACTAGTTACCAGCAAGCATTTTAGATGCTGGTATCACCACTAGAAATCTTCACTAGCAAGACTTCTTGGTCAACAGCTTTAACAAAAATCTTTATTTTACTGTTATACTACATGGCTTACCAGTAAGACTAGCACCAACCAGCTTGAACTAGCTTGCAATTTCATGTCAGACTCACTCTTTTCTGCAGGGTAGTTTTGACATTTTATTTCGAGATCATCGCCAAGGGGTAAAGTTGCACGACACACTTTGTGTTTGGAAATGAACTACGGCTGACAGCACCACATCGGGATCCAGACATGAGTGAGTCACACCATCCAAGTCTGGGATTTCTGCCTGAGGACACTGCCGGGATATATAACACATTCCCTGGATGATGGGGAAATCTTCAGACCACTACATTCACTACACAAGTACATTCACATACTTGCCCGAAAACGTTTCGTGTTCCATGCCTTGGCATGAATGGGATGCAACATGCGAACCGGGACATTTCAAATGCACAGAGTGTCCACAGCGGAGCCATTATTGAGGAAGTTGGAAGAGCCGCAAATCTGGTGACAAATGCCTTGTGAAGTCACGCACACATGCAAACATGCAGGACAAACAACTAAACGACTACAGCTACTCTACCACGAAACAAGACACACGACGGGGGGCGCTAACATCTACGGGCTTTGAGTAAACGTCTGGAGTCCCGCTTCACAAGTACCAAGTTTTATTGCTAATAATACACATTCATTTACAATGTTAAAGTGTTCCAGAATGAATAAGACCAAAGGTTTGGAGTAGTAAAAAAACAACAACAGACATCAATCGTACAGAACCTGTGAACAGGCATCGAGAAAATTAACAATCTTGAGACTTCCGAAAATCCATTTAAAAGTGCTACAGGGCTGCAACAGAGAGGAAGAGTTAAAAAACGTTTACTAAGGCTCATGGGCATGACCCTTCCATTGCTTACCTGGTTATTTAATCTAGTACAGTCTACGTCAGGCAGATTGTAAACACATTACAATTATGGTTAATCGTTTTGCATATGTGCCACAGTGATTGCCTTGTTAATTATGAGTATTTTTAAAAAAGTACAGTTACAATATATTACACAAATATATCTGGAACTTTTCGGATACCTCAGCAACGTACATTTTATGAAATAATCAAGAGATCACAGCTTGACAAGAGTGAATCATTCAATACTGCTACAGTATTCTCGTGATAATAAAACCTGCAGAGAAGTTAAATCTCATTTTAGTGTTAATTCACAAAAACCTATGAACGCTACCTTGGCCACTGACAAATTACAGATCACTGGGAATGCTGGGTGGGTAGAATTATTTACAATCATATAAACAGTGGCATAAACTGACACTTTCCAATAAATATTGTCAAATTTTATGTAACCGACCCAAAAACTGCAGTGGTCTTGCGAACACTTTCCAAATCCTTTCACTGACATAGGATTGCCATGCAAAAGTTAAGAATATTTCTCAAAAGGAAAAAAGTTGGCTTTTGGAAAAGAAACAAATGCTTTAAAAGATTATATCACAAATGCATTTCCTAGTGAGTCAGAACGCAATAACACATATGCAAAAAACGAGAGCATGGAAGTGCGAAAATGTCTGGATAAAAGATTGAACATAAGTTTAAAGTACTTTTTAGGAAAGCCCTTTGAAACCTTCCTTATCTTTTTAGACTTCACATGCTAAGCCTCAAAACAAGTTTCTTACTCACAGTCTGTCCAAATCTCACCTACATCCATCTCCACTTCAAAAGACTACTGCATTGTAAGGGTCCCATGTCAATGCAAAGTCTTTTACACATTTGAAAAGGACAGGGCAACAAAATGCTGAGACAAGGACAGGTTGACATGCTTCCAAGAGAGAAGGAAAAAAGACAAGTTGAGGCATTCCAGAGATACATGCTGCTAGAACAGTGATGACACTGGGCAGGAGAGATCTTAAAAGCAATGCAACCTGAGCACAGGTTAATATATTTACAAATCAAAAGTACATCAAGCATTGCAAACGCACTGCAAACAGATGACATTGATGAGGCGTGCCAGAGATACAGTGGTTTTAAGAAAGAAGAAATTAAGCAAAACAAAACAAAATAAGATTTTATAATGTTATATTTTTAAAAGGAGTGATGCATGCTGGGAAATGGGCAAGCAAACATGACAATGCCACCCGACTGGCACCCCATGTAGAAACACCAAAGATAAAGAACTTGGAACTTCAACCAGTTTGGGGGAAAAAATATAACATAAATAACAAAGCTAGTATGAAGCCATCATGGTTGGGTGAAAATCTTTAACATGCATGATAAAATGCTAAACCATTTACTGTTGCTTATCTCATGTTATATCAACACAGTCTTTTATTTTATCTGATATACCGTCCAACACATCCTACCAGTATAATCTGTTTTTATGACAACACAAACTTATAGTTCAACTTTAGACAAAATGTATTCATCAGAATCTAGAAGAACTTTAAACTAGCTCTGACAAAACGTCAATGCCACACAGCAGAGACACCCTCAAAACTTTCATATCTTGAACATATTGCTATTGCATAAAGAAATTATCTCTGACATTAGATTCTGTAAGCTATGGCTATGGCTAACAGAAAGGTATTTACAGGTTGAGTAAAGGCATGACATCTTTCGGTATATTTTTGTAATTCTTTGTTTCTACAAGAATGACAAAGAAATATTCCGCAACGTTTGGCAATACTCAATGACTAATCAATTAGTTAGCAGTACTATGGGTAACCTTAATTTGCAATTGTAATTAGATGTCATTCTTTACATTTACAGACACGACACTTTGCAGTAGGACCTTCAACTCCTCATCAATCTAAAGTTAATCTTCTAATAGCAATAGTTATGAATTGTGCATATTTGAAATAATCAAATATTTCCTCAGGCAGAACACATTCTTCTTTCTAAACCCTCCAAATATTGCAAAAATACCATCATCGCTAACCTTGCTAAACTTGTAATGTGTAATCTTTGCCACTAGTACCACCAAGTGTAATTCTCCAACACTGCCCGTATCTGCCAAAACAGATAGTCACGCCTAGGGACACACCGATACCGATACTGGCATCGGGCCCGATACTGAGCTTCTGTACTCGTACTCGTTAAAATGTCCCGATACCAAACACCGATACCACACAGCATGTGATCAGTGCCATATTCAGACAAAGAAACACCGACAACAGAACTACAGATAGCAGAATGGAGTTATAAGAGATTAAGGATGTCTACGAAGTATATGTATGCAATGAATATAATGTTGAACTTTCAGTATTAACGCCTGTATAGCTGATGTGCGCAAGCTGATAAAGCACGCAGAGTGGGTTGAGCGCGCAGCGGCGCAGATGCGCGAGCTTGTCGAGTGAATATACCTTTCTCACAGACATCACTGAAAAGTTTGTAGTTCGGTCGGATATGTCAAAAACAAGTAAGTAAAACAATGCACAAGTTACTTAACGGTAGGGAGAGAGCGCGAGAGAGAGAGAGAGAGAGAGAGAGAGAGAGAGCGCACTTCTGTTGTGTGATCTTTGATGTTCGCTCACTTAGCACACGCATCATTTGGATTAAAACTAAATCGTAAAAATAAGAGCATTTATAGGGGCATTCACTATAAATGTCATTTATTTTTAACCTTAGGCATACACGACTTTCTGGCGAAAGTGAATCTAACAGCTTGTGTGAAATGCGCTAGGCTGTACT